AAGTATGTATAATTTAATTTAATTGATCTAATTCTGTAAAAGAATACAAACAGTCTTTAGTTTTCCACAGTTCTGTATTGTCTTAACAGAATCAAACACACAGAGAGCACAGGGACAGAGACACACAGTTTGGAGCTGGACAGTGTGAAGATTTATTCCAGTGAAGACGCTCTGGTCTTTGCCTGTGGACACATGAATAACACATGATTACATTATGATGATCTACTCTGTTGTACATGTTTAAATACATTTAAAGTACTTATTACTGTTTGGTCCACAGAAACAAAGGGACAGTGTCAGCAGTCACCTCCAGTCTCTCTCTCTAAAACCTTCAAATCAGGCAAGAAATCTAGAGGTAATAATGGACTCAGACTTGAACTTTAACATCCACATCAAATCAATAACATCTGCAGCCTTTTACCATCTAAAAAACATAGCAAAAATCAAAGGTTTACTGTCTAAATCAGACTTGGAGAAACTTATCCATGCGTTTGCCTCCAGTAGGTTAGATACTGTAATGTTCTGCTCACTGGTCTCTCCAAACGAGCTGTGAGACGCTGCAGAACATCCAGAACATCCAGAACATCCAGAACATCCAGAACATCCAGAACATCCAGAACGCTGCAGCTCGGGTCCTGACTCGAACTAGGAAGTACGAGCACATAAGTCCTGTGCTCAGGTCTCTGCACTGGCTCCTGTGGCTCAGAGAATAGACTTTAAAGCAGCTCTGCTTGTACAAGTCTCTTCCATGGCCGAGCACCAAAGTCCATCTGTGACATGTTAGTGTCATATGAACCATCTCACACTCTGAGGAGCTCAGGGACCGGCCTCCTGCTGGTGCCCAGAGTCAGACTAAACAAGGGGAGTCAGAGTTTCAGGTTCATGCAGCTAAAACCTGGAACAGTCTGAACATGTGAGACAGACTCTTCTGTGACGCTGTTTAAATCCAGACTCAAAACATTTCTGTTTAACTGTGCAAATAACTGAAAGGTTTTCATTCCGCACTCTTCTCTCCAATTTATGTCTCTCTTTTTTAATTTTAATCTTCATGATTATGTTTTTGATTTGTTTTTATTATGATTTTAATGTATTTCTTATTCTGTAAAGCACTTTGAATTACTTTGTGTACGAATTGTGCTGTACAAATAAACTTGCCTTGCCTACTACAATAATGGACCAGAACAGAATCACAAGAACATTAGAACTGTATCTGCAGAAAGAAAACTCACCATGTGCTGCTTTTCTTCCTCTAAACACAGTAACAGGTAGGGCATCTGGTATAAAGTCTCCTAGTGCCACATCACCCTGTAGAAACACGATCACTGTTTCAATAGGAAGTTCATTTTGAAAAATTCTTTTAAAATCATTTTAGTTGGTTTACTTACTTTGTTCATCTGTGCTCTGTGTTTTGTTGGTTCTCAAACATCTTCCTTTCTTTTCTTTTTTGCCTCTGCCATGTCCTGTGCTGCTGATTGTGCACCTGTTTTGTCTGCCTCCAGTCGACTCCGGCCTGCTATTGGTTGATGTGTTTTTCTTGAAGGCCACGCCCAGGCTCTGTTTTAATTAAGCCCTGATGAAGACCAGTTAAGGTCGAAACATGTTGGCTTTGGCCATTCAAATAAAGGCCTTTTAACTATATTTTTCCTTGTGCGATTTTTTTTCACTTTTTCTTCTTTTTTGGAGTGCCTGGAATCTGTTGTGTTTTAGTTTTGTAGTTCTGTTGTGCGGTAAATGTGTGGAGTTGGAACTAATGAACTACACGTTCATTAGTTCAAAAATTCAGACCGCAGGGCTCAATGCTCACTTAGGATTTGTTTGTGAAATCCGATTTTTTTGCGAGGTCGTTCGTATTTCCAATTAAATGTGACTTGTATATGATCTCCAGTGTGAACTTTAAATGCCACAAACGTGTCCCGCATGTGCATTGAAGGACACAATGACCTCACACGCAGCGATCTTGCTCAGTCTTTACAGAAGTCGCATAAACATGGACGCAGCATTGAGCACCTGGAGATTTTAAAGTTGCTGTCGTACCAGAGCCAGAACATGTACAGCTTATTTGTTTTAAGGAGGAGATTGAGAAGGAGAAGGACGAGGTTTTTAGCTGTGGCGTTTTGTGGGGCAGCGGCAGCGACGTCCGTAGAAAGGAACGTGTGGATGAGGCGTCACAGCCAAGAGCAGTGGGATTGATCTGCGCTTCATAGTCCAATGAGATTTATTTGGTTTGATAATTTGTGTTATTACACTACCGTTCAAAAGTTTGGGGTCACTTTTTTCAATGAAGATAACTTTAAACTAATGAGAAATACACTCTGTACATTGATAATGTGGTAAATGACTATTCTAGCTGCAAATATCTGTTTTTTCATACAATATCTACACAGGTGTATAGAGGCCCATTTCCAAAAACTATCACTCCAGTGTTTTAATGGTATAAGGTGTTTGCTCATTGTGTCAGAAGGCTAATGGATGATTAGAAAACCCTTGTGCAATCATGCTAGCACAGTTGAAAACAGTTTAGCTGGTTAGAGAAGCTATAAAACTGACCTTCCTTTGAGCAGGTTGAGTATTTGGAGCATCACATTTGTGGGGTCAATTAAACGCTCAAAATGGCCAGAAAAAGAGAACTTTCACGTGAAACTCAACAGTCTATTCTTGTTCTTAGAAATTAAGGCTCTTCCATGTGAGAAATTGCCAAGAAACTGAAGATTTCCTAGAACGTTGTGTACTCCCTTCAGAGAACAGCACAAACAGGCTCTAACCCACAGGTGTCAAACATACGGCCCGGGGGCCAGATCCGGCCCTCCAAGACCTTCAATCTGGCCCTCAGCTGACTTTCTATTTTAGTAGAAAGTCAGTTGAGGGCCAGATTAAAGGTGTTGTAATTATATTTTCTATTAAAATATTGTTAATTTTCTGCGGTGTTTATCATAGCAGCGTCTCCAGCGTCTCTGTACGTGGCCCCTCCCACCAGAGCAGCACAAATGAAGACTTGTCTCTTTCCAAACGCTCTTAAAGGACGATCGTTTTGACTGTTGACCGTGACACCCTCATCAGAAAAATGTCCAACATGAGAAAAGTGGAGCCGAGTGCAGGATTTTACAAGAAAAATTGACTTATTCCTGTTTACATACAAGTTCATGTTAAACATTGTGTTGAAATTGTATTTTTCTTAAAGTTTCAGGTTGTTCATAATATTATAATATTTTGTAAAAGAAAGAGTTCATCAATTAAAAAAGATTTATGTAATAGATTTGTGTTTCTCTGCACAAATATTTGATCTTATTGTTATTTTTGGGGTTTATATGCCATGAGTTTACTGATCCGGCCCCTTTGGGATCAAAGTAGGTTGGATACAGCCCCCGAACCAAAATGAGTTTGACACCCCTGCTCTAACCAGAGTAAAAAGAGAAGTGGAAGGCCCCGCCACACAACTGAGCATGAAGATAAGTACATTAGAGTCTGTAGGTTTAGAAACAGACGCCTCACAGGTCTTCAACTGGCACAAAACGCCAGTGTCAACATCTGCAGTGAAGAGCCGACTTCGGGACGCTGGCCTTCAGGGCAGAGTGGCAAAGAAAAAGCCATATCTGAGACTAGCCAATAAAAAAAAAAGATTAATATGGGTAAAAGAACACAGACATTGGACAGAGAGATTGGAATTAAGTGTTATGGACAGACAAATCGAAGTTTGAGGTGTTTGGATCACACACAAGAACATTTGTGAGACGCAGAACAACTGAAAAGATGCTGGAAAAGTGCCTAATGCCATCTGTCAAGCATGATGGGGGTAATGTAATGGTCTGCGGTTGCTTTGGTGCTGGTTGGTGGTGGTTTATCATAGATTGGTATATGCTAAAGGTTTCAGACCCAGCGCTTTTCTGTCCCATACACAGCCCAAAGTCCATAACAGCATCATATCCCATCCCATTTGTTAAAGGTTGTATGGAGGATTTTTTTTTAGTTTCAAATTATCAGTGAAAGTTTAAAATACCATTACAGAGACGCAGCAGCCTTGTAATTATGATGACCAAAAAAAAAAGAATGAAAATCTATCAACTGTGGACGTAGTGAGGCCAGATAAACATCGGCCAATAGAAAACAAGGCTACCTCATTTTCTATTGGCTGTTAGGTCGTCAATCAAACTCCCTATATTTCTAGTGTAACTGAGTTGCTGGCGCGCAGGGATGACGTGGTTTATGCAGCGGTTCTTAGAGGCTTTTACAAACTGTAGCTTCCTCGCAGTTCGCACAAAGTTTGTTGCGATGGCGGACGAGAATCGACGACCAGTTCGCCGCGAAAGAAAGCTTTTTTTTTTGAGGTCGCTGAAAGACGAAGAGAAGGGGAAAAGGAGCGAAGACAAACTGAGGTGATTCTTGGAGATCTCTTCCAATGAAGCAGACAAAGGGTCTAAAAACTGACGCGTCGGTCTCTAAATTATTTTCAACTAGACAGGTCACTTCAACAGTAATTTCTGAAAACGCGCACTGGATGTAAACAAGCGATGTGATTTCTAGAGTAAAAACGAGGCGGGAGGAGATGTTTCTAAGCTGAGGGAGCTGTGGAGGAGGAAGGTGGTGTCACGCATGCGCAACATTTGAAAAAGAACTGTCGCTGTATTTCTCTTCCCTTAAAAAATCCTCTATACAACCTTTAAAGACAGGGGTATTTTAATTCTATGGGGTATTAACTGCGAACACAGAACATGTTTAGATCGCCATGTTACCTTTTATTGTTTTTAAAAATGCTATATTCACCTAAAACAATGTGCTTTAGTTTCTCCTATTAGAGTCTCCTCTCTTTATTGCTCCCCACATTAAGCATCTCCCCCTTCAGAGCACAACTACAAGAACACAACCAGCATTTACTCAGTTACTCAAACTAAAACCTCTTCAATGTTATAACATGAAAATCGGTTTTGTATAATAGCACCTCTTCAGACAGTTTTTCACCGTTGGAAGTGTCAAACCAAGCTGGGCGTGGAACAACTATAAAAGGAGGAAGAGACTCGACTTCTACAAAACGCAGGAAATCAAGAAACCGGAGTAAACTAAACTAAAAATGGTTCATCCAAAATATTCTTGTTTTTTGGTTTCAATCTTTCTGAGTCAGTTTGAAGGTAAGATTTTGTGATCCAACTGATTTTTTTCTATAGTTTTAATTGAAATGTGTGTAACAGGAGATGTATTTTAATTTATTATTATTTTTATTTTATTTTAATGCATATTTGATTAAACTAATAACCAGCATGCAAAGGTGGAACGTAACCAGGTGGAACTTAAGTATGCATTTTAAGTATTCGTACTTCACTTAATTAATACTTTTACTTTTACTTTATTACATTTGAGAGCAGGTATCTGTACATTTCTGAACTGGACCTGCTGAAAAAGCTGAGTTTATTTTTAATAGAAAACAAAAATGTAGAAATAACAACTAGGAAAAAAAAAAAAAAGATTGATTCAACTGGATTTACTCACTTTTAATTAAGTATTTTTTCGCTTTGGTATCTGTACTTTTACTTAAGTAACACAACTGAGTGCTTCTTCCACCACTACTAAAAATAAAAACTTCTGTATGATCATTCTTCAAAAGCAAATCTTGTTTATCCATCCATCCATCCATTTTCGTCCGCTTATCCGGGGCCGGGTCGCGGGGGCAGCAGCCTAAGCAGGGACTCCCAGACTTCCTTCACCCCAGACACGTCCCCGAGGAGCTGGAGGACTTTGTTTTTTGTCTCCAAAACCAAAATGAAAAAACAGATAACGATTTGTTTTTTCAGTTTTCAATTTTGTGTTTAAATGAATAATTGAAAAAAAAAAAAAAGGATAACGGACGTTTCTCGTTTCCGTGACTTAAACTGTGAAACTTTTTTTTGCCGGACTTTTGTGACACATACAGAATGAACCAGGACTAAACCATTTTCAGTCCTGGTCTGGTCCCAGTCTCAGTCCTGGTCTCAGTTCTGGTCTGGTCCTGGTCTGGTCTCGGACTCAGTCCTGGTCTGGTCCCGGTCTCAATCACAGTCTAGTCCTGGTCTGGTCCCGGTCTCAGTCCTGGTCTCAGTCCCTGTCTCATTCATGGTCTGGTCCTGATCTGGTCCTGGTCTGGTCCTGGTCTCGGTCCTGGTCTGGTCCCAGTCTCAATCACGATCTGGTCCTGGTCTGGTCCTGGTCTCAGTCCTGGTCTTGTCCTGGTCTCAGTCCTGGTCTGGTCCCGGTCTCAGTCCTGGTCTGGTCTCAGTCCTGGTCCTGGTCTCAGACTGATCTGGTCCTGGTTTAGTCCGTATGCGGCGCAAAAGTCTGAAAGTCTGAAAAAACAAATCATTATCCGTTTTTTCATTTTTGGTTTTGGAGACAAATAATGAAGAAAACTGTTGTTTTTTCGTTTTCTTATTTTTGTTTTTATTTTGAAAAACAAATGAACCCATGATACACAGATATAAAAGTTACACCTGTGGAATATTATGACCAAAGGAACAACATTTTCAAGCATGCGTGCTTATCGTATTTGCCATTTTCAACATAATCACATTAAATTACTTCATAAATAATATTTTTCTTCCTCCAAAATTCAACTCAACTGTGCACAAATATGTATTCTATAAATTACATGTAGTTTTAGAAATAAGTTGGCTTTCAATGTCTTTATACAGAGTTCCTACAGGATTCTTCAAGTCTTTTTAAGGCCTTTTTAAGACTACTTATATAAAAACTTAATACCTATTTCATGGCCTATTTCAAAAGCAAAATTCTTGAATTTGTGTTAATTTGTTTCTCAAAGGAATATATGTAGTAGAGAGAATCTTCCCCATAACCCCAGCATGAAATGTGCCGCCCTGTAATGTAAAAGCAACTTTAAAAAACCCCAAAAAAGCATTAATCAAACTTTGTGTTCTGCTGAGATTGTCTTTGATTTTACATGCTTTTGCTGAGCTTGTCTGGTCAAATTATGATAAAATGTATAAGCAGTTACGACAAATTCAAATATATGTTTTATTTATTTATTTATTTGTTTAGGAGTGGGAGCACAGACATATCATTTCTCCAGAGCTGGGGAAAATGCCACTCTGCCCTGTCAGACGGGACTGAATTATGGTCCAGAATGCTCTAGAGTCCACTGGATTTACAACTCTGAAGACGACTCACAGTCTGTAGACAAAGTATGGCAAGGACGTGTCCTGCACGGTCCAGGCTCCTCCAGAGTGAGTTTGGGCCCAAACTGTTCTCTGATCATTGACAACATCACTGACCAGGACAAAGGGAAATACACCTGCAGTCTGTGGGCCTCTGATGAGAGGAACACAACATTTATCCTGGGAGTCCTCAGAGGTAAGTCACATCTCTGTAAAACAGGGATACTCATTGTGCAGCTCTTTAATTGGTGGCTCTCAAGCTTATACCACAAATAGTAACACAGCCAATATATTTTTTCAAATGTGGTAGATAAATATATAGTGAATATTGCAACACAACATTGCCAAAAAAAAAAAAAAAAAAATCTGATTTCCCAAAAAAATCCAAATTGAGCATTAAGCCCTGCAGTCTGAAGGTAGCCTTAGTGGAAGAGTGGACAAATAAAAAATAATTCACGCATTTTACTTTTGGATATTTCATGTCCCTATCTGAGACAGGAACATGTGTATATTCATATTTACCATTTGCGAAACTATTTCTCTTTCAGTATCTGAAGTTCCTCCAGGTCCAAACCACAACGCTTCAGTCTTGACAGTCATGTGCTCCATATCCAGATACTACAAAAAGTGTCGACTTGGGAGTATCCTCTGGTCGTATCATGGAGGGAACATAAGAGCCAACATCAAACAAATAAACTGTGTGTCCTTCCTCACAGTGAAGCGTGGAGACAACAGAACCTTCACCTGTCAGTATCTCAGTTCAAAGAATAAAGTCTTTATCTCAACTGACTACACACCAGGTGAGACGCACGCTGAGCCTCCAATACGTGAAGCAACGTATTTAAAGCCCCACTCTGTAACTTAGCCAAACATTGAAATATTGTTCCTTTGGCTATAATATTCTAACCTGATTCATCAGCTGGTTTCAATTCATGAAAACCGTCTGACCTCGCAGCATTAGGATTTGTTCGCTTGACGGAAGGCAAGTACTTTTTTATTTAACCAATCACAGCAAATTTGGTCGTGACGTATGTAATGCGCCAAATCCAGTATGAAGAAGGGCAATAACGTCTTTCCCCTTGATAAAATTCACCAAACATTCTCTTTGTTTTGGCTTTAAATCCTCGATCTCGGGAATCGTTGCCAACACAGAATGTCTGTCTTCGTCTACATCCATCTCGACACTTTGTTTACTGTTGTGCTGTACCATAAAAGGAACCAGACAGATGCTTGAGTTTGACGTTATGGCTTCACAGCTCTTCGCTGATTGGCCGGTGTGCGGTCTACAACTTCCGGGGTTCTTGCAAACCGTCTAGTGTATTCCGATTCCTTTTTTTTACAAATGTATTTATAATTTGTCAAGTTTGAGGGATTGGATACCCAGCACATCCACAACAAGACAGACTTAACTAAATATAAAATTAACACACATACAAAAAAAAATAAAAATAAAAATAAAGGAAAAAAAAGGGGGCTGGGGATTGGGAAGGGTGTGTGTAGTACAGAGTTTCTCAATGCAGTGTTTGCATGTGTGTATTTACATTTTTAAGGCTGTCAAATCAAATTTACATTTATATATTTTCTATTCTCTTCACATAGCTTTCGTTTGTTGGTTTTTGGCAACCCCAAAATGCATTACATTATACAAGCATTTAAATATACATATTTTAACATTGTCCAGCAATATGATGTTGTTATTTTACTGTGATTTGTCCAAATGGGGTTTTGCCACAGTCCATAGGTCAACAGTGTGTTTGTTTTTTGTGTCCAACAACTGAGCAGCTGCTCCATAGAAATTAAATCCAAAAAGTCTTTCTACCAATTGTCTATGTTGAAGCACTTATGTTTACGTTCCTTCCAGTTCATCATAATAATACGTTTAGCTGATAAAAAAAAACAGTGATAATATGTGGTCCAATTGTTGGGATGACAAATCTTGAGTTCTTATTCCAAACAGGCACAGCAACAAGCATGGAGAGATCAGCACATCAAACATACAAGACGTATTCTGATTCCTGATCTACGTAGTCGCTGGAGAGAAATGGAAATTCTCTCAATTCACTCACTCAATTTCAATATAATGTCAATACACTAGACGGTTCGCAAAAACCCTGGAAGTGCGAATTCGGGCATCAGCCAATCAGGGAAGAGCTATACATTCTGTGTTGGCAAAGATTCCCAAGATCGAGGATTTAAAGCCGGAACAAAGAGAATGTTTGGTGAATTTTATCAAGGGGAAAGACGTTATTTTCCTTCTTCCTACGGGAAAAGGTTAATATACCAGTTAGTCCCCGTTAGCGGTGCATTACATACGTCACAACCGAATAGCAACGATTGGTTAAATGAAAAAAAAGTACCCGCCTACCTTCGAGCGAACGAATCCTAACACTGCGAGGTCAGGCGGTTTCTACGAAGTGAAACCGGCTGATGAAACGTATTTATCTCCATGAAGAAAGTTCCGGCATGGCTTTAACTTTCTATTACCATGAAATCCTGCAGGTGAAGTTACACAGTGCTGCTTTAAGCGTCTTTAAGCACTATATAAGCCTAATGTATTATTATTATTATTATTATTAATGGTACCACTTCTCAACCCAAAATGCTGGACTCTTGAAAAGTTCTTTAATGTAATATAAACAACAAACAGAAGTAAAACCAAACACAAAAATTCTAAATGGTAATGTACAAGATGTCATGACCATAGACTGTTTATAAAAATGGGCATAGTTAAGCTGTGGATTCTAGCCTTTGTCTCTTGTCCATATTTCAAAGTAAGACCCTCAGCCTCAGCAGTATCCAGCAAACATGACGATAAACTGACCCTGTGTTTTTCAGATCAACCGTCCACTGAATGGACCACACCAGCTCCCAGAAAAAACTGCGACCCATCAGAACCAACAGGTACTCACACTGTTTTAGTAATGAGAAAACCTAAAGCAGTGTTTCCCAAACTTTTTTTCTGGGGACCCATATTTTAAAAGTCACAAACCTTTGCGACTCAACTCAATAGACATTATTTGTAAATCACAAAATAAAGATATGGATTTGACCATTACTGAGCATTAATGAGGAGATTTTATTGTTGACTGAGTGATCATGTCTCTGAGCAATTAGTATTACTCGAGTTTTAAACAGTGAAAAACAGTAATTGAACTAGCAATAAAAGGATCCATAAGTAATAATAATAACTAGAAAAGCACTCAGAGAGCGCAGACCTCCGCCAAGGACTACCCCCATTTTTTATATAAATTGCAATAAAATCAGTCTTCTGGATCAGATCCGGATCAGCCTTTGGAATATGAAAGAGGATCCCATTGTCCATCCCTGAGTCAAATTTCATGGGGTTTGGTCAATAATTAACCGAGATATTGAGAAACAAAATTTTTGGCCCCATTTACCACAATGTTAACTAAAATTTCAAAGTGATCCAGAATCCAGGATTTCTTCCGGATCACCCCCAAAATGAAATCAGTTCTTCCTTTTCACATTTCCAACAAATCCTGAAAATGTAATCAAAATCGGTCCATAACTTTTTGAGTTATGTTGCTAACAGACAAACAAACAAACAAACAAACAGATAAACGCCGGCAAAAACATAACCTCCTTGGCGTTGGTAATAAATTTTATTTATATTGCACTTTACATAAAATAATCTCAAAGTGCTACAGGTAAAAACAGTGAATAAAAGTGCATCAGCAAACAGTGGATCAAGCTAAAACTATTGCAGGAACCAATAAGATAAAAAAAAAAAAAAATACAATTAACAAAAGGCTTTAGTAAAAAGATACGTTTTAAGATTTCATTTTAAAAACAGAAGTAGAGTGTGGGGCTCTCAAGTGGTCGGGGAGAGCATTCCAGAGCCTTGGAGCTGCAGCTGAAAAGGCCCGATCAGCCATGGTGCAGAGTTTGGTTCTGGGGAGTTGGAGAGTGTGAGTGGATGCAGAGCGGAGGGAGCGTGAGGGGGTCTGGGGAGTGAGGAGTTCCTTAAGGTGCTGGGGGCAGTGACCGTGGATGCACTGATGAGTGAGGAGGGAGACCTCGTACTCAATCCGGAGTGGGATAGGGAACCAGTGAAGGGATTTCAGGATGGGGGTGATGTGGTCAAATGTTCGCAGCCTCATCAGGATCCTGGCAGCGCAGTTCTGGATGTATTGCAATCTCTGGATGCTCCTGCCAGGTATCCCGATGAGTGCGTTACAGTAGTCCAGCCTGGAGGAGATAAAGGCGTGGATGAGCTTCTCTGCATCGCCTATTTGGACATTAAGTGTAGCCCATTTCTTTTTCTTTTCGACATTCAGTTGAGCAATATTGGAACAAAATAGTCAATAAAATAATTACAAAAGATTAGAAATTATACAAAACATGTCTAAAAATTTCAACCTACTTGCAAATCGTGACAAGGAGACCCCAAAAAATCTCTTGTGACCCACCTGAGGGTCGTGACACAGTCTTTGGAAAACAGTGACTGTAGGAGCCATTCGTCTGTTTTCTATTGGTTTCCTCACGTGACTAATGTGCACGCGCTTTAACTCTGTGCACTACACTGCGGTGTCTGGGGGTGGCACGGTGGGTGTGGTGTGGCCTATATATGAACGCGCTCACCTGTTGAGTGTAAGGCCTTGGATCATGGCGGCGGGGTGAGCACGGGGAGCAACTTTCTGTTGACCGTATTTTAACAGGAAAGATTTGCATATAGAAGAATTCGGTGCTTGGCTACGGACGGCAGCAGCTTTAAAGTAAGTGCTCTAACGCGTATGCCTACCATTACAAACAAGTACCGTGTATATGTGCATTTGTTCCAAGTTACGCGTCCACAGTGTTTAACCCCGTGTCTTAGCCCGACGCGGCGTGTGGGATAAGCTTTGGGCTACATACGCCGCAATAGTGACGATAAAGTGCACTGTGTAAAGGCGAGAGCACCGTGGCACAGCATTTGGCGCGTGTCATTGAAGCACCTCGGAGTGCGTTGGCCTTAACTTTTCTGATGAAAAGTCTCAGTGTTACTGCTTTACCTGTAATGTTCCAGAGTATCATCACACTGTCTTTCATTTATTCCATTATAGCTGTTTTTGTTGCTCATAAAAACATTTTTACTGTGAGCAGGGTTGCCATTCAAAAGATCTGAACTTAGCTTGCTCTTCTCCATGGAGATAGACAAGTTTAAAAGCATCCTGTGAAACATTACAGGCAAATATACTGATCAAAAAAGGAAAGGAACACTTTGAAAACACATCAGCTCTCCATGTGAAAAAAATATGCTGGATATCTATACAAATATGCACAGGGCAATGTCTTAGGAACAAAATGGAAATAACCCTGAAAATCAAAGTGAAATAATGATGTGACAGGCTGGTCAATTTTGCCAAAATATAATTTCTGCAACCCAAAATGCTCCTCAGTATCTTGTGTGGTCCCCGCGTGCTTGTGCTTGTGTGCATGTTTGACAAAGTTGTGGCGAGCGCCTAATGAGACAGCGGACGGAGTCTTGTGGGATGTTTCTGTAAATGCTGCAGTGAGCCTCGTCATTTTGGTCTTAAAATGTTTATAATCCGCTCTACATGATCCTGGTGTTTTTATTTTGCTATTTTGTCCGTAAACCAATTCCTATTCCTAATATGGACCTGGCTCCAAATTGGCAAGCCTCAGTGAGCTTCATTTGACTGGAGCTGAATGTTATTGGTGACGTCACACTCCCTTAGTCCACTTCTTTCTACAGTCTGTGGTTCATTTGTGTTTTCAGGCTGGAGCTGGTTCCTGGTGCTGAAGGCTCTGGGCTGGTCGACACTGATCTCCACCACTCTGATCATCTCCATCTGCACCAGAGACAAGAGTAAGATACTTCTACTACTACTACTACTACTACTACTACTACTGTTGCTACTTCTGCTAATATTACTGCTATTACTACTACTACTACTACTACTACTGCTATTACTACTTCTGCTACTGCTACTGCTACTACTGCTACAATACTGCTACTGTTGCTGCTACTACTACTACTACTACTACTACTACTACTACTTACTGCTATTACTACTACTACTACTACTACTACTGCTATTACTACTTCTGCTACTGCTACTGCTACTACTATTGCAACTACAACTACTGCTACTGTTGCTGCTACTACTACTACTGCTAGTACTACTACTGCTATTACTACTACTACTGTTGCTACTTCTACTAATATTACTGCTATTACTACTATTACTACTGCTGCTGCTGCTACTACTACTGCTACTACTAATATTACTGCTACTACTACTATTACTACTGCTGCTACTACTACTACTACTACTACTACTTACTACTGCTGCTACTGCTTACTACTACTACTGTTGCTACTTCTACTAATATTACTGCTATTACTACTATTACTACTGCTGCTACTACTACTACTACTACTTACTACTACTACTGCTATTACTACTACTACTATTGCTACTTCTACTAATATTACTGCTATTACTACTATTACTACTGCTGCTTACTACTACTACTACTACTACTACTACTACTACTACTACTACTGCTATTACTACTACTACTATTGCTACTTCTACTAATATTACTGCTATTACTACTTCTGCTGCTGCTACTGCTACTACTACTGCAACTACAACTACTACTACTGCTGCTACTACTACTACTACTACTACTCTACTACTACTACTACTACTACTACTACTACTACTACTGCTGCTATTACTACTGCTGCTACTACTACCTCGACTACTACTACTACTAATAATAATATTACTGCTATTACTACTACTACTACCACTACTAATATTACTTTTATTTTTACTACTACTACTAATACTACTGCTATTATTACTGTTACTACTAATACTACTGCTTTTACTACTGTTAGTACTGATACTGCTGCTACTACCACTGCTACTACTACTACTACTGCAACTACCACTAATATTACAGTTATTACTACTGCTGCTACTACTACTACTGCCAGTGCTACTATTAATAATACTACTATCACTGCTTCTGCTGCTGCTACTACTGCTATTATTACTGTTATTATTACTGCTATTACTACTGCTGCTACCACCACTACTACTTCTACTACTATTGATAATACTACTACTAGTACTACAACCACCACTATTGCTGCTGCTGCTACTACTACTATTACTGCTGTTACTGCTGCTGCTACTACTAAAACTACTACTACGAGTGCTGGCATTACTTCTGCTGCTGTTATTACTACTACTTCAACAATTTCTCGATAATTTCATTCCATTGCTAATATGTAAACTACTTTATCTTCACAGAAGAAACAAAGTCCTGTAGAGGATGTGTGAGTTTACACTTTTATTATTTATTTAAAGTGAATCATTATTTTTTACTTCTGACCACAAACATCTGCATAAATGTCAGATAAATAGCAGAAAGGGAACTGAAGCTGAAGTGATTGTACCAGCTCAGTGTTACTACATCAAAGGGCAAAAGCTGCAGGATTATGAAACCACATTAAGCAAGGCTGCACTGTTTCCTTTTGGAGACATTTGTAATTACACTTGAGGACCATCTCCACACAATTAAAGCTACAAGTTGTCTCTGGAAAAGACACTGCAGTTCGATGATAACAAACAGGGAGAGAGAACACTAGAGGACCTAGGACTGAACCTTGGGGTGCTCCAGCTGTTAGTGGGACAGTGGGGGGACTCAACATTGAAAATCTCAGTCAAATAAGATTAAGGCTGTAGACTGTGACTCACTGTTTCTAATACTGCAAGTACTATGATGAATATATAAATAAAATGTCTGTTTTTCCCCTCAGGTTCCTGGTAATGATTATGAAAATTAAACAAGACCAGCCCAGTGATTCTGTGTGACAAACCCATAGTCTGTATATAGAAGTGGACTAAGGGTGCACTCCCCTAGGACTTTAGAACTGTGCTGTGCTCATGTAGTAGAGCTAGAAGTATAGCTATTGCTTTAGCTGAGAAAATAAGTCCAGCTGCAGAAATATCTATTAAATCTATAGTAATACTGATATACGTCCTTTTGTGATGTGCACTCCTCCGTGAGTTTACGGAGATAATAACAGTGGAGGAGTGAGGACAGTCGGAGATGAGGCTGCAAAACTTCTGTCACCATCCACAGTCCTTTTGGAAGGTGAGCACGGATCCACTGTGTGTTTTGGAGCGGAGTTTATTCACTGTTTTTCTAGTATGAGTAATATCAGTGCACACACAGGGATTGTATATTAACTTGTGCGTTTACTTGAGCAACTGTGCCGTGATTTGGCCCACCTCCTCCAACCAGACCAAAATCCTAACCGTGCCGTGCTTGGTTTGATTCACACTGGCGCTCACAGTGGAGAAAAGTACCTCGCTTTAGGGGTGATCCTTGTTTGGGCATGGTTCTAAAATCCTAGTGTGAGTGCAAACCAACCCTAAGTGAATTTGGTTTGGTTCAAGCCAACTGAAGCCAGTCAAGGCTAGCAGTAATACATGCATCCCAAATTTTGGACTTCCGGTCATCGCGCAATGCATACAGGTAAGGATCCTCCGAAAAAGTGAGCATCAAACCACCATGTTTGATTTCCCAGTGGGATGCGTCTATTGTCAAGGTCGATCTTTTCAAGTCTTTTGAACCATATCGCTTTTGTTTCTGGTTCTGATATTGTCATATTTTAGTTGTTGGTGCTCCACATACAAAATGTTCGCTGCAAACTCGGGATGATTTCTTTGGCAGTTACCATTTTCGCCTTCACCTTTCACTATTTTTCAGTTCCGTTGGGAAGGGAAACAGTCTGAACAGAGGTTTGCAGTCACACACATCTGATTCCCTTTTGCAGTTATGGAGTTCACAAACTTCCGAAGCTCATTTCTCGAGCTGTTTTCCGCTGTTAGGATCCAACAACCACACAACTACGATGTCCGAACCCCGTAACTTAAATATGACAATATCAGAACCAGAAACACAAGCGATATGGTTCAAAAGACTAGAAAAGATAGATAGTCAATAGATGCATCCCACTGGGAAATCAAACATGGCAATTTGATGCTCACTTTGTCGGAGGATCCTTCCCAGCATGCATTGCGCGATGACCTGGAGTCTGAAATTCGGGATGCGTGATGTGTAGGGGCGAATTTGGAGCACATTTCCATATTTGTAATTCCAACTGTGAGTATCATAACAACCAAAGAGCCAATCAGGAGCAAGTGTTGTGATGATTGTGCTCTAGGCTCAACTCTGTACATAGTAAGTATGTAATGTAGCCAGTCCATTACTTGGGCCTAGGGCTAGTTAAAAGGTAAAATGAGGAACTGAAACAAAGTTTTAGAAATGTTTATTGAAAATGTATGTGCAGATTGAAGTTACCTGTAAAAGAAAAGGGAAAAAGTAAAAGTGCATTTAAATTGAAGTAATTGTACTTACCCTCTGGTGTGGTTTGCCTCAGGTGCTCCGGCCAAAAGAGTCCCCGGGGAGCCAGAGCACCTTAAGAAGGTTCCGGGGCAGCCAACCATGTTTGGAGGAGGGGAGCACAATTTTTTAACTGGTTCTATTGAGTATTTTAGGGCATTGAACACTGCTAATTTAAATAAAGATATATATATTTTTGTAATGTATGTAATTGGATGTTGTTTGGGCACTGTTGGATAGTTAGTTTTTAGATATTAAATGTACAAATTATTGGTGCTTACCTGATCGTTAAAGTGGGCTCACCCAATTAGTACAGGGCCTTTAAAAGAAGCCAGCCTCACCTTGTTTAGGGAGAGAGGTGCTGTGTGAGCGCAGGTAACTGCTATGCCTGTTTTAACCTTTTTGGAATTTTTGTAAATAGTTTTTGTTGTGTCTTTAATAAATGCACTGGGATCTGCACTGTAAACTGGCTCAACTTGACTCTGTTCCTCCTAAAACCGCTAAGGTTGCCACCAGGCTATTACAAAGTAGTTCATTGTGTCTGTAAAATGCACCTTGCCAATGTATTTTATTATGTTTAATTTACAATCTTTGCCATTTGATTTGCAATGTTTATATATTTTTGTGTTGTTGTTTTTTTATATTGAACTGTTAATAAAGTTTCTAGGGCACAGTGTGATGTATCCACTATTATAATTATACAATATGTACTTTTTTTTCCCCACTGAACAAATAAAAAGGAACATTTTATTCTCTACTTGCTTCCAGTCGCGCTGTGGTTTAAGCAGTGGCAGAGTAAAGTAAGATCTAAGCCCAGGATTAGCCCGAAGCACTTAAACTTTATTAAAAACACTAATATGAGGAAGATGATTCTGGTCTGTGTTTGTTTGTTTAGTTGTACTTCTGGGGAAATCGACATGGGGACGTTTTGCAGAAGTGAATGGTGAAACTTTCTTTAAGCAATAATGACTCACATCTTGTGTGTTGCAGTGTTTGCTATTTTAAATGTGTTTGGACCTGGAGGAAAAAGCTAGATATATTTTCTATTAAAATGTCACAGTATACATCTTTTTTTTGTTTTCTTTTTTTACCAATGGAGCTCAAAAGTCACACCCACTTCGAAGTCCGCTCTAGTTCTGGAAGTTTCCATTAAATTTTCCCGTTGATTTTTTAACACAAAATGGGCTTCATCTCTTTTTGCACACAGCTGACAATGAGTGGTAATTGGATTACAGTTACTTTGTTTTTTGGTGTTTTTTTTTCCGTAATTCCACTCATTACTAGAAACTAAACCAGGTCTAAACCAGGACTAAAACCAGGTCTAAACTAGATCTAACTAGATTTAAACTAGATCTAAACCAGGTCTAAAACCAGGACTAAAACGGGACTAAAACAAGACTGAAACAGGACTAGAACCAGGTCTAAACTAGATGTAAACCAGGTCTAAACCAGGTCTAAAACAGGTCTAAAACCAGGTCTAAAACAGGACTAAAACAAGACTAAACCAGGACTAAAACAGGCCTAAAACCAGATCTAAAACCAGGACTAAACCAGGACTAAAACCAGGTCTAAACTAGATCTAAACCAGGACTCAATCAGGACTAAAACCAGGTCTAAACTAGATCTTAACTAGATCTAAACCAGGACTCAACCAGGACTAAAACCAGGTCTAAACTAGATCTTAACTAGATCTAAACCAGGACTAAAACCAGGTCTAAACTAGATCTTAACTAGATCTAAACCAGGTCTAAACCAGGTCTAAAACCAGGACTAAAACGGGACTAAAACAAGACTGAAACAGGACTAGAACCAGGTCTAAACTAGATGTTAACCAGGTCTAAACCAGATCTAAAACAGGTCTAAAACCAGGTCTAAACTAGATCTAAACCAGGACTCAATCAGGACTAAAACCAGGTCTAAACTAGATCTTAACTAGATCTAAACCAGGACTAAAACCAGGTCTAATCTAGATCTTAACTAGATCTAAACCAGGTCTAAACCAGGTCTAAAACCAGGACTAAAACGGGACTAAAACAAGACTGAAACAGGACTAGAACCAGGTCTAAACTAGATGTTAACTAGATCTAAACCAGGACTCAACCAGGACTAAAACCAGGTCTAAACTAGATCTTAACTAGATCTAAACCAGGACTAAAACCAGGTCTAAACTAGATCTTAACTAGATCTAAACCAGGTCTAAACCAGGTCTAAAACCAGGTCTAAACTAGATCTAAACTAGATCTAAACCAGGACTAAAACAAGGCCTAAACTTGATCTAAACTAGATCTAAACCAGGACTAAACCAGGACTAAAACCAGGAATAAACTTGATCTAAACTAGATCTAAACCAGGAGTAGACCAGGACTAAAACCAGGTCTAAAACAGGATTGAACAGGACAAAACCATGCTGTGTGGCCCACGTCTCTGCTTCTTCTATCAATAATATTTTTAATATGGTTAAGTAAAGACTGGGCTTTTTATTAACATCTTATGTTACGATATCCTAGTCTTTCCTTCTTTACAATAAATCAAATAATCCAAAGTATTCAGATTACATTACTCACTTTAAGTAATTTAATGGATTCCGTTACAAACTACATTTTGGTGTATGTAATCTGTAATCTGTAGGGGAATACATTTTAAAAGTCACCTTCCCAACACTGCAAGTATATGAACTAACACTTCATAATAACTAGTAACTAATTCATGTTAATATATTGAGCTTTCTTCAACCATTTTCTAACGTTCAACATGAAGAGGTTTCAGATGTGATCCATGTATCCGCCCACAAGCCGACATCACCCATGCACCCAACGCAACAATACTCCATAAATATACAAAAAAGGGAAACGAAACTGTACATAACAACTTAAAAACCTGTGCAAAAACATTAGTATGAGTCGTAGCAGTTGGCGTAGTTGGTGCGGTTTATTCACACATTTTAGCACTTTTTTAAAATGTGGAAATGAAACGATGACCAACGCTGAAAGAGAAGAGACGAGCTAAACACACAAAAGATGACGAAACAGAAAAGATGAAGAAACACAAAAGAGTGTGTCTGCAGATTAAGTGAGAATTCTATAAAACAATATCAATTTATTTATTTCATAAGCTTTCTGTTAATATAAGAATCTGGAGCTCACTTGTATGTAAATTGTTTTATGTAGATGATTTTTTTGTGTGTAAAATGTGTTGACAATCAGCAGATGGTTGAATGTTTTATTATAACAGACTGCACACAGCTGTGAGAGGAAATGGGATTCAACATGTTACAGGAAGAAACTACTGCTGCTAATGCCATTATAAATTCATCTGGTAGTATATTGGTAAAATCTATATTTATTTATGTAAATTTAAAGCAAGGACAACAATGTATACATACATCTCAAAGACTCCTTTCCATCTGCAGTCCTTGGGCAGGTACAGAGACATTGAAGAGACTATTTACATAAAAGCACCACTTCATCTACAGCAATGTCTCTTTAAAGTGTCCCTAAACATCCTCCTTAAGCTTTACTCCGCCCATAAGCAAAATCTGAGTGCTGGGGAGTGTGGGGATTGAGTGTGGGGTGGGCTCTGTAGTGATGGTTGACATCCCAGGCACAGTAATGAATGAATTAGAAAGCACCACCCACCTCATTTTATGTTTTATTATTTTATACCGGATTTGTATAAAGGAAATTATTATTAATTTTTTAAAATATATTTCATGCGCACAAGAAATTGATACGTTTGTAGACAGGAGATATGCTGGGGATGCATGCAGGCAGGGGAAGGCAACTCGGGGTGGTGGTGGTGGGTGGGGGTGGGGGGGGGGGGGGGGGGGGGGGTCATAAATGTGTCTCTTGTGTTTCAGGTGAGAAATGACAATTTAAGTCAGGGGTGTCAAACTCATTTTGGTCCGGGGGCCATATCCAACCGACTTTGATCCCAAAGGGGCCGGATCAGAAAACTCATGTCATATAAACCCCAAAAATAACAATAAGTTCAAATATTTGTGCAGAGAAACACAAATCTATTACAGAAATCTTTTTTTAATTGATGAACTCTTTCTTTTACAAAATATTATAATATTATGAACAACCTGAAACTTTAAGAAAAATACAATTTCAACACAATGTTTTAACATGAACTTGTTTAAAATTAACTTGTAGAAATAGGAATAAGTAAATTTTTGTTGTAAAATCCTGCACTCAGCTGCGCTTTTCTCATTTTTTACATTTTGCTGATGAGGGTGTCACGGTCAACAGTCAAAACGATCGTCCTTTAAGAGCGTTTGGAAAGAGACAAGTCTTCATTTGTGCTGCTCTGGTGGGAGGGGCCACGTACAGAGACGCTGGAGACGCTGCTGTGATAAACACCACAGAAAATTAACAATATTTTAATAAAAAATAGAATTAAAATATTTTAGTAGAAAATCAGCCGAGGGCCAGATTAAAGGTCTTGGAGGGCCGGATCTGGCCCCCGGGCCGTATGTTTGACACCTGTGATTTAAGTGAATATTTCTTCTGATAAACATAAGTTTGTAAGTTTGACGCGTCCTATGTGGTGTGACCTAATTGTAAAGTGTGCCTGGACATGAATAGCGTGATCATAAATGTGCATACGGCATTAAATGGAAGTAAGTATACACTCTCTGAAGCCTCTTTATCTGACCACAAGTGCTACAGACGCAACAGCCCAACATGATGTGGACCGGTGCACTAAGGACTTTAAAACAGAGCGCACATTTGTGTTTGGATCACACTGTTTCCCTCTTCTTCAGACACAGCGGGACATGGCAGAGCCCAGCGGCCTGAGCCAAGCCTGTGCAGCTCTACGAATCAAGGCGGTGTCCCTGTTTTACCTGGAAACTGCAGCAGCACGAGAGGCACTAACAGAATTATGCTGGATCTTTTTTTGTTGTTGTTGTTTGTTGTTTGTCATGTGAAGTCTATGTGGATTATGTGTCTTTGGGTGTCAGCACGGCACGAATCTGGCATTGATACAGCGTGTCTTTAGTGTTCTGGCGTCGACGCTCTAAACGTTTGTTCAAGGAATTGGCATCAGAAGTTGAAAATGCTGAACTTTTCGTGCCGAACTTGCCGTGTCAACCAATAAGGGACGAGTATCCAGTGACATAGCGACGTTATTATCCAGAAGAAAGAGAAAGACCTGAGAACCAGGGCGGGAGCTACAAACATTAGCGGAGGACTAAACCAGGACTTGACCAGGACTGGACCAGGACTGGACCAGGACCGGTCTAAACCAGGACTAGACCATGGACTGGACCAGGACTGGACCAGTGTCATATACGCCACAGTCATCGACCTGATCTCCTCCGCTGATGATTTTATGTAATAAAAAAGTCTCTCTCAGTCTGGTCTGCCATCGTTTTGGGAAAAGTCCGAGACTGGGCACTTGTTTCCAGGGCAACGGATGTGCATCAAGTATTTTTCTCCCGTTCGTCCACAGCATCCAAGACGTGCATCGAGGACGTCTAAACTCCAGTGCAAAGGCGTCCAAATAGAGGCATCTAGGGCGTTTTTTGGCGCTGCTCTCTTAATGGACCATAAGACTTCACCATTCCTTTTTAATAATAAAATGTAAAACTATCAATTAATTATACAAAATACTAGCTCCAGTATTACATTACAACAATAATTTCTCACAAACTTGCTTCAGTATGTTGCAGAA